TGGAGATTAAGCTATACAGAAACATTTGTTTTATTACACTGGCAGAGGATCCAGTGCAAAGTACTTGCAATGTCTGTAATAATTTCAAGAAAGCGGCAAGAAACGTAAATCCTGTTGTCATGGCCACCGGTAACTACATACCCGACCCTGCGGACCGAATGTTAAACAATCTACGTCGCCCTAAACACGTCATTTCGTAGGTACCTCCAGCACCAGTCGCCGTTTTCGTCGAACACGTCACTTGCGACGAAGGGTTCTTGAGAGTAAATAAACCACGACACAGCTCACTGAGTTTCTCGCCGGATCTTCTCAGTGGGTCGCCTATCGAATCTGGTGATAGATTCTGATAAGCACTCCTCTAGCTAAGGCCAATGTTAGCAACGTCCATAGGTTAGAACTGCGTGAGCTCACCTACTCGCTGAATTTAGTATGACCTCTCGAGGTCAATAGAATTAAAAAAAAAATAGAATAAGTTAAAGCAAAAAAAACCTGTAATGACTTATTTATGTACATGAAAGATGGGCCGGTCTTTCATCCCACCTGGTCAACTTCCGCCTGGCGAAAAGCTGTTAGTGGTGACAATATGCCATAACGTACCAGTATCTTCCATTAAATGCGCACTTTTAACGTGGTCGAAATCACAATTTTATTGGATTAATGGCTCTTTTATGTACAACTTGACAACAAAAATAAGCACGACGGGGCTACCTACATCTACATCGTGTCAGAATAGAGATAGAAGGGAGCTAGGTTGGAGAATAACGAGAGCATTGCTACCATAGTATGGGAATGATGCAGTAGTACAGACTGTGATCGCTTAGGAGTCTACTACTTTTAATTCAGGCGCATTTTACATTTCGGTCAGTACATATCCGGCGAGGAATTAGCGGCATTAGTTCATATCACGCAATTAATATAAACAAAAATTGTTCTCAAATATTAAATGCATCAAGTTTTTTTTATAGCAGCAAAAAAATAAATAAAATTATCGAAATTTCCGGAGCCTATGTGGAACTACTTGGAAACACTGCACTCACCAGCAGCTCGTTTCCAGAGGTATTTTATATTACTATGGGCACGGCAATAAACTTTCCTTTATGATGCCTTTGGAGCGTAATATCATGACCCTTTTCAAACGAAATTTAGAAAGAATACTAACCGATGGGTAGCAACTCAGCAGTGCCCCTAATATTGTTGATGTCCATGGTCGTATGCGTATAGCTATTGAGGCCATAAAATACAACATTATGAACGGTTACGCCCCTTCTAATCACTTAGTGTAAATGCAGCTTCCATTTGTGGTACGCCAATGAGTCATTCCTGTAGAAAACTTACAATATCGGAAAAGTAAACGGCAATAAAATACTTAGTGCGGCCCTGAACGGAACCATTAGTGAGTACTTTATTCATTTCAAGAATCATCTGAAAGACATGTTTTCAGTGTAGCTATGACTACAAAGTATTTTCTCAGAAAAAAAACATTCAATTGTTTTTTTTATTTCAATGCTAGGGCAATTTATTTCTTACAGAAAAATACCGTAGTATTGAATCAATTCCAGACATGAAAAAATTGCAAGAAGAAATATCAGAAAGCACACTTACAAAGGTAAGGCTTCTAGATTGATGGAGCAGTTTTGATATTTTCGTGAGATGAGAAGTGAAAAACCGTTAATTTAATAAAATCTTAAAAACACGTCACACTAAGATGCCCGGTTTGTTAACGTTCTAAGGCCCCACGCGGGCCGCAGCGTGTCCGTAAAAGGAAAATTATGTCGCCTTCAGGATCGGTCTTAAGCTCTTCACTTCGGGGCATGTTAGCCGGATTGTCTCCATCTCCGCTGCCACCGTGCGCCGCCAGGTCTACTTGGGACGGCCTACTTTTTGTTTCTCGTGTGGGCTCTCTCCTGAGAGCCTATCCACGTCCAATTGCGACGCATAGTCATCTTGTCAATTGGCATTTCCTGGCACGCCTTCTATAGGCGTTCTTCTTAAGATCTTCTCAGGCCACAAAATACCAACTATTTGCCGCATGCAGCGGTTGATGAGAACCTGAATTAGCCTCGTGAGCTTTTTGGTTACTTTTCATGTTTCGCACCCGTGCAGTAAGAGAGTTTTCACTTTTGATCGAAAATGTTTGAGTTTAACTCTGCGACTCGACTTCGCGCCATACTAGTCGAACTTTATGCAAAGCCTGCGCTTTGGACATTCTAGAAGCTCTGTCCTCGTCTGCTCCTTTGGTTTGTGGTACGATGCTACCTGGATACGCGAACTGTTGTACTCTCTGTGTCAGTTCTGTACCCAACGTTAGCGATCGCGAGTTTTTTCCGGTGTACATTCCTTAGGTCTTCTTCGAGCTGATCTTCAGACCACTGTGTCTATCCACTATCTGACCATCATGGAAGATTTTAATTAAACTCGATTCAAGAAACTAAAGCGGATATGCATTACAGTAGGATTAATTACATATTCCAATTAACACGAATATGGAAAGAAAATGGTAAAAAACTGTGCAATTTACTGTCTCAATATACTTAAACTTAACAATTTTATTAAGGATACCAGAGTTCAAAACTAGAGGCTCTACACTGCGTTAAATTAAAATTACTAAGAATCGATTCACTAAAACACCAAAATAGAAGATACTAAAAATAGCTTATCTATTCATGTCGTTATTCCTGTGAATTCTCATATATTAGAATAACTTCGGAATTGTAGTATAAACTTATAGCGATTAAAAACATAAAAAAATATTTATCAATACTTGTACTTGTGTAGTTTTACATTAAAGAAAAAAATGAAAATGCTTCGAACCTCTGACCTAACACAACATTGTTCAACCTTGTGATCTTTCCGAATCAGTGGCCTAAAGATGTCAGGGGCGCTTCTCTTAATCGATACAGTCAGTAACCCATTAGAAGTGACATTTTCTGTGTGTTGGCGTAAATTAATTCGAAAGATAGATATTGGTGAATATTATTTTTCAGAGTTATCCAAAAATATTATTGTATTTAAAAATATTCGATATTTAATTTCGAAGAAAATACCTTGTATTTTCTTTCTAGTATCTATAAAGAATAGTGGAAAACTCAAAATAAAAAAAAAATATATTTTGAAAAATTCTTCAAATTCATAATATATTATTTAGAAATTGAAGTTGGCCCAATAAAACGTACATTGTAACTTAAGTTGTGGAATTTGTGATAAAATCAAATCAGTGGCAAATACCCAATTATTTGATCATTTAAAATACAGTTATTCGTGTGTACCGATTATTATATTTACAGAAAAATTTTATTTGATTAAAATATATAAATTTTATAAAAGAGGCAAAGTCACAGATATGCTTGTGAATTATAGTCGAGATATTCCATTACGCAATAAATGATAATCAAACCCTTCTCTGAATAGTATCCTTGGGTAGGTTAAGGTGGCGCCCGTACTGCCTACATTAGTGCCAGCAAAGTGACTTTTATTTAAATTCATGCAGTATTTTATGTCGTTTTTTTTTTTTTTTTTTTTTTTTTNTAAAAACTCCTGCCGCTCACAACCGGCGCCCTACCTCGGACCGGGCCGGAGCCCAGTCGGGGCTATTGAAACGGCGGGACAGGGTTGACGCAGAGCACATTACATCCATCCCACCGTCCCACGGACGCCGGACCGGTGGCCGCCAGCGAAACGACCACCGGTTCCCTCGTTCAGCGGGCCGAGAGCCCGCTTTGATGGCGCCGCGTTACACCTTCCCCCAGAGCGGTCGGGGGAACGCGGTCTACCATCACCCGGCTTCCTATTGCGGGTGAGCGTGCAGAGCACGCCACCCCTCGTCTGGGTCCCTCCCCGCACAAAACGGGTGGGACCCCTAGCTCTTAGGGGGCCAGGTCACGGATACGACCCCGGTCCCGACCCCCTGCTCGGCGGCGGCGGGTTTCTGCGTAGTGAGGAGAGCTTTCCCTCACTCGCCCCGCCGCCTCCTTCTGCGAGATGGTGCACTCGCAGAAGTCGAGCATAGCCTTCCATGACTCATCGCTGCCAAGCATCGACGCCACGACGCCAGGCAGCGACAAGTCAGGTCCTATCTTTGCGACCAGGACACGGCGCTGCACCTCCCAAGCGGGGCAGACAGCGAGCGTATGCTCCGCCGTGTCCAGGTCGTGTCCACAATGGTGACACCTCGTCGTAGTATTTTATGTCGTGGGATAATCTTAACACTTCAATTGACGTAATTCTATACACCGTCGCTCATACATAGTAATTGGCAGCTGTAATGGCATTATGGGTGTTGGGGCTTTATAATGTTGATAAATAAATGAAACAATATAATATTATGATGTAAAATACATATTTTTAACCTATTATCCTTCCATTCTTTCGTAACAGAGAGTGCGCCTCTTTCGGCAGAGATAGTTGCGGTTTTTGTATTTTTGCTCTAGAGTTTGTAGTAGTGGAAAATAAAATTATAATTCCTAACATAATAGAAAACAATCAGTTTCGCGGTAATATCACATTACACGAGTAGGCGTTGTTTTGAAAAGTACGTGAAAATGTCGAGATGGATTCCCAACCCTAGCTTAAGTTATTCTTATGTTTTTCTCAGTTCGCTTCAGGACCTCGCTCGCGAAACATTAGTGCGCGGAACCGCGATCTCGTTTCATGAAAGCCCTAGTCGGAAGGAAATATTAAGAATTGAAATACCTTTATGGTGTTTAGCTTATTAACTGTTTAACTTATAGTTTACGTTTCTTAGTCTTTTAGTTTAGTTTTACGTCGACTATTTCGAAGTCAGGGGATTTAACTTGAGCGCGCTTTTCAGAATATTTTTTTTTCCCGATAGATTTTCGATTTTCCGGTTTTCGAAATGGGGTAATTTATTTTTCATTAAGTAAAAATAGTGTATTTAATGCGGATGTCGGGCTGATCTCCTCAACTCGACATAGCGCCTCTTTCAAAAAGTGCCGAAAAGTTTACTTAATTCTTTTTTATTTTCGAGCGGTTTTTTTCTTTAGGTTGATGCTGGTTTACACATGGAACGTTCTGGGAATGGGACTTTAGATCCGAAGATCCGTGGCTCAGTTTTCACTATTCAAACTCAAACGAGAACTTATCACCTAGAAGCCGAGTGCGAAGCGGAGATGGAGAAGTGGGTAGACGTTATCTGTAGAGTGTGTGGATTACGATCCACCGACGACGATCGTCCAGAAGCCGTTGGTAAGATAACAATTATTACATACAATTATTTTTCTGATCAACTGTTTAGAATTGTACATTTTCATTCCATTGTTCCTGATTCTTCGGAAAATTCACAATACAATAAAATTCTTTAAGTTTAAGGATGTTGAGACGTTTTAAAAAAAAAGTTAGAACACATAGTTTGTTATAGTAGTTAGTGACCCTGACCAAGGAATAAAATAATAACAGGGTTCCAGATTCAATTTCTGATTATACGGTATTCAGGGTCGTGATCCAATTAGCATTCTTTTTCGGAGTTTTCTTCGTCTTAGTGGACGTCTTCAATACCTATTTTGTTGTTTTTTTTTTGCATAGACGAGTGAAAGATGTCACGGAACACTCGGCGTAAAGTGATTATCGAAGTCTATCGACAACCTGAAATAGCCACTCATCTCGTTACATAAAGGTTGAAATTGCAATTGTATAAATAGTATTGCGACTGAGCCGACCTTCAAACAGGAACGCAAAACTGCTTCACGATGGAGATAGTTAGAGCGGTGAAACCTAACCGTGTGGGTGGGCAAATTGGAGGAAATCTTTCGTTAATTTCGATCCGTTGATATGGAACTTTTTTTACATCCAATACATATCTTATATTCTAGGATGCTATTACATGGTTTTTCGATTGTTTTACTGCTCATAAGGCGTATTGTAACCACCTTCCCGTCTATTTTTGCTGCGAAACAGTCGCGCGTTCAGATTTGAATGGTGGGTCAGTCGTTATACTAGACTAGACCTCATATCTCAAAGTGAGTGGCAGCATAACAGACAGAGCGGTGTGTCCGGAGTTGCTGACCCATGTCCTAAGGTAAATACTTTTTTAAGCATAAGTGAGTGGACGAGCTCACGTCCTGCCTGGAGTAAAGAGCTTACTGGAATCTAATGACTTCAGAACATGAATGCCGCCCCTCATCTTGAAACAAAAAAGATCTTAAGGTTTCTCAACCATTAAAATCATATTGCTTGACTTCTTCGCGGCAGAAACAGACAGAGCGATTAAATCTTATTTAACTCAAATGTCTTAAACTTCCCCTTCCTCTTATCGTGAGTATAAAAACAAGAAGTAGTAAACTAGACGTGATGTGAGATGTCCATTGTTCCTATTAGAGTCGCGTTGTCGTGCTTTATCAGTTAGGATGACTGGTATCTGCTGAAAAATCTGATTGGCTCTGATCGCCAAACTTCTTAACCGCATTTGTTATGCGAGCGGTTAATTCAATTTCTTAACACATTTTTTTTTTATAATAAAAATTTATTTTGTTTCTCTCTTAAAGTATAGTACAAATAAAATTGGAAATTAACCTTATAATTTATTTTGTAAACCTTTGAAAGAGCTGAAGTCTGTACTAGGTTGAAAGGCCTGTATTACTGATCTCCAGGCTCCCTCCTTCTTAAGATAGATTAGGTTAGGTTAAGTCGTGAACAGATGCTGCGGACTAGTGTTCAGAGATCATTATGTAATTATTATGTTATGATAAATTGTTTGTCACAGTTTTCATCACAAACGGCCACTGCACGGTCACCGTGCTTAGTAAAATAGTCGTGAACCATAAAGACATGAATGGTACGGTCGCCGTTCTGTCGTCGTTTACATGTGAAGAAGTAATAATACGTTATCCGTTTCTCTAAAAATGTAATCGAGAAAACATTAGTGCCATATGTTTTACTTCAAGCGATTTTATTGATAAACTAGCCGTACTCGCCCACTTCGCTGAGCATTTAAAATTGACATTATTATTTATTGTCATTATTATTAGGAAGTCCAACACTGATATAAATATTAGCCTATTCATTAAGTAGTACATGTATTTTCTACATGGATATCTACCAAGTTTCAAGTCAATCGGATGCATGATTCAGTAGTTATAACGGAACATCCGTAAAAACCACTGGAGATTTATATATTAGCATATATTATCAGAAATCGCTACGAAAATGGCTTCAATTTCCAAACACACATATGAAATATAAGTTGAAAATATAACGAATTACAAAATATGCTTTAATTTATTATTTTCAAACGTATTATAGATGTAGGAATCTAGGATGATGTTATTTTAAGGATAATGATTGATAAAAACTACGTGTAATCATATCCAATTTATACATTATACTTCAATTATTATATTTATTAAACTTTCCTCTGAATACGTTTATATCAATACACGTGCAAGGACTTTTTTGCAATCGTTTGTAATAACCTAAATAACTTAAATAAAATTATAATAAATATGACATTAGCTGAAAATAACCATCAATAGCCCAGTAATTATATAAATTTTACCAAATAAGACCTTTTTTGAAAAACGAAGTATGTATTAAAATTAACACGTTTATGAATTTAGAATGGATTGTTAACGCGGACGTGTCTCTTTTGAATACGAAATCGTTTATCTTTTTAATACGCTTTTATTAGCTTCAGACGTATGTATGTTAGTATGTATGTAACGAAATTTTTGAACATGATTTTGACCCCCTTCAAATCGTCGGATTAACTCGAAATTTGGCATACTTATTAAGGACCGATGCCAATTCAATATTTAAAAAAAATGAAATTCAACTAAAAAATAGAAAATTAATTTTAATAAATTTGATTTAAAAACAGTGTAAGAAAAAATGATTTTATTGTAAAAAACCTGTGGGGTACATGGTATCAGTAGTTATAAATATTTTATGAACAGATATGAGTAGAAGGGCTATTTTGATAATATCCAGAAAAGCACCCCAGGGTTTTTTTACAATAAAATATTTTTTCTTACACTGTTTTTAATTCAAATTTATTAAAACTTATTTTCTATTTTTTAGTTGAATTTTCTATAAAAGAGTATTTTTTTTGTTTTTTTAAACTCTTATTTTTTTTTTGATTTGTCATACGTATGAAAACAATGCAGCTAGTTTTAAATGGTCTTTATTATATAAAAATACGTAAAATAAGACATGTTTTTCCATATTAATATTGTGCATATTTAGGAAGGTTACTGTTTTATATAATATTTTATTTAGCTTGAAAGCAGTTCGGTAAGGGCTTGGGCGGTAAACGCTCAACAACGCGTTTTTATGCGTATCTTACACGCCCGTATTTTTGTACAATCAACAGGTAGTAGTTATATAACAGAATATTTAGCTTCTTCACTAGGTCCAAGGCCGATGCTTCATTTCTTAAGGTTTCTTGGTATTTAATTTTAAATTTACCGGACTTTTGTCGATAATTTTCACGGCTTGCATTGATACATTTACCATATGGACGTGAAATACTGTGGTTTATTTCGTTCAGAGGTCACATACTCTTGGGCGTGTTTACGTGAAGTTATTTGTTTATAAATAACAAAATTTAACAAATGTAACAACGTAACAACACGTATTCTTCTGAGACACATGCTCTGTGGTGAGGTAGTAATTGTCTCATTAACAAACACTCCTTTCAATTACAGTTCAACAACTACAAAATAAAATAAACAAATTTTAGTCTGCGTTCTTAAAGTTACGTATGCCTAAACATAGGCATTTGTGAAAGTTTACATTCCAATACTTTTGTAACGCGTGGTCATCAACGAAGCTTAAGTCTTATTGTTTGTTTGCATACAAAAAATACTTGGAAATTCTTTACTCTCGTTTCGCGGCAAATTAAATAAGCCCCCTGTTGTGGTACGTGAACAAAACTTATTTGTTACGATATTAAATATACCTAATACAAATGTACTGAATAAAACGTGTTACGTATGAATATTTTGAACGAATATCGTAATTTAATTGATTTGGTATCCATAAATTGTATTTGGACATGTACCTATCTATCTAAAAATTATAGGTATATCTAGTTTGTCCTGGCGAAAGGCAGTTAGCATGAACGGTCTTTTGACACTAGTAGGTATTATGTTTTTTTCCGAAACAAGCTCATATGATCTGCCGCCTTCCAACGACAATTCTGATGAATTAAAATAATTGCTAATACCAAACCGTTACTTTGAAACTTCTTTAAACTTCGAATATTAGTAGGACAAACAAACTAGGTTTCTTCTGCCGATAGCATTAGTCCACTGTGATTGTCAACTTAACTGATTAAAACTGCAGTTTTGAAAAGGTCTTTAGTTTTGTGGAAAATTATGTAATTCAGTTTGCCGTTGATTTCATAATTCTTATGAAAATGATTTAAAAAAAGAAGCCCTACTAATTCGGTCACACGGAAACTTCATGAAATTTATTTGTAGGGCTTACTCCAAATAAACAAAAAACAAATGGCAAAGATTTTCGGGCATAATCTAAGGTTTTTTTTTTCAGCATCCTACCAGAACAATACGAGAGCGGCTTCTAATGATCACTATCATCGCGCTTCTGAAACCACTGGCCCATACATACCGATTTCGGAATGTATCACTGGCGTGCGCGATCAGGTAGGTGCGAGTAAATTTCAGAGTTAAATCAGAATTTTAATTTTAAATAAATAAATATTTGCCGGTCACAAAATAAAACTCAACTATTCCGTATATTTTGTATATATGTTGCTTGTGCAACAAATTATAGACAGAACGAACTCGTCTGTACACAATTTCGGACGAGCTCATGGTCCACTGGATGTTAAGTGCTTACCGAAGCCTGTGGATACCACAACTTGAATGTTGCCATCCTTCAATCACGATTCGGAAGTCTCAATGAATGTGTTTGCAAAATTTTTGTTCTCTCATAAAAAAAGCAGCTTATTTCAGTTTATGAACGTTACTATGTTATATCGATCGATATTAGGGCCTGTGCACACCACGTTTTTTAAACGCTCTTTTATCCTACAGAGCAGTTTGTTGTCGTTTGTATCGATACAAACGCGCGTTAGCATCGCGTTTGTATCGATTCAAACGCGGGACATTGATGCGACCGCTAGCGCGCGTCTTACCTACGGGTGGCGTTTCCCCCGCAACGAGGGAAGTATGAATCTACGCTAATAGCAATCGAGCAATTTGATGCACCGCATGCCTTTGGAAAAAAAAGGAGCCTGCAGAAAGCTTGACAAGATGTCTCTGTTACCTTTTTGTTATAAGTAATCGTTCTTCCGCGGATATACATGATCTTACCACTGTATTTTGACGTGTTAATTCCAGTTTAAGAATCTCAAGAAGTTCTTGAAATGATGAGTACGACATTCGATAACAATTTGCAAATTTTTTGTCATATTTTATTAATTTTCTAAACGTCGTTGTATAATCTCCACGCAATATTATCTCGCTTGTAAATGGGTGTACCCAAAAACGTCGGTAATTTTTGGCGACGCGATGGCGACGGACGCCATCTTGCTACTGTTGACGAGGTTCTGCTTAAAAATGCAAAATGCCAGCGCGTTTGTATCCATACACACGCGCGTCTGTATCGATTCAAACGCGTATTTGAATTTATACAGGTGTGCAAAGGTCTGGCTGCGTCTGACTTGCGTGCGTATCGCGTCTATATCGCTACAAACACGCGTCGACGGCGCGTTTAAAAAACGTGGTGTGCACAGGCCCCGAAACAGCAACAGGCGGAGAGTTCTGAAAACAATATTTAGAAAATGCAAAGTAAATTTCGTCGAAAATTTATTTAGGATTTTTCTTTAAAGTCGGGCATTTTTGAGATATTTAATGTTTTTGAATAGAGCTGTGCAAAATTATTGTAAAAAGTAATGTTTTGTTTTCTTTTATATAAGTGGTATATTTTACAGTACGGTTGTGATACGCCTTTAGTTTTCTTTTTTGTTTTATATACATAAGCTGAATCGGAGCTAAGTAATTATGGTAGTTAATTAATTGCCCAATGGATAATGGATTCCTTGGAAATTTCTGTATAAATCAACAAACATTGGTGATTGAAGGAACTTATTAAAAAAACTAAATTATGAATTTTTTAAATTTAATTTATTATGATTTCAGAGTAATTTAATCATCACAGAACTATTAGTGGGTTACTTTGGTCTTTATTACAATAGGGAAATCATAATTAAGTACCTACTTGGTCGAAAATTAAAACCTCCAAAATAATTATATTCTGAAATATCAATTGTTTTGAGTTTCGTAATAAAATATTACATGAGTTCCATGGAAAAGTAAAAGTAAAAGTAGTAATATTATCAAGTTTAGTTAATGAAGGTTTTATTGTAAGCCTTCGTATTATGTTTTGTACTAAATCAGTAACAGATATATTTAGGTTATGACAAAAAGAAAACACCTAAATTTAAATTCTTGCTTTCACCGAGAGGTCACGCTCAATGTATAAACATAGGGGTGAGTGTTTCGATCTAAGCACGTACAAAAATGTTTTTCGGGTGTTTTAAATGTCTGTCATGACGTCACGAAAAGGTGTTCGAATGCTAACTGCTAGTTATTTTTAGTATTTGTTTTTTCGTTTTTCATTTTACCCTTTCAGCTGCGCTTTGTTTTATATTTGTGTTTCGCAGATGAAACAAGAAAGAAAGATGATATACAAGAGAATTCATAGATGTTCGATCGTATGAGTAATTGCGAAAACAATATATCGCGATATTTTCGCGACATTGTATATGCGTTTGACATTTGAAACTCGCGAAGGAAACGTTAAATCATATTTAAGTTTCTAATAATTCACACGGTTATTTGTGAAGGGTTAAAAAAAAAAAAAAACTCGAAGAAACACGTATTTTAGTTACACTCAATAAAACTATTTCCGTCAACGTTACTCGAGTTCAAAGCAAGAACGGGACAAGCCGTCCTATTGAGTATTTTGACTGAAATAAGTTCATTTAGCACTCGTGAATAATAAAGTTTGTCTTCTACGTTACGAACGTATACGTTTTAATGAGCGGAAATATTTACTAAGTTTCTGGAATAAGCAAGTATCGAAGCGGAACTTTGGACGTAATGTTTAAAGTTTTAAGAGTGGCATTTGTTTATTTTTTGTTTTAACCAGGACGACCAAAGGCACGGTACCGGTGTTGGGAATCATAGGTCTCCCTTGGGCAGGATCTCGGAGAACAAAACTAACCCGAAGTACCTCAGTCAACCGCAGATCCGTATAACCGCAGCCGAGCTCTCAGAGAACGAATCCAATCCGAGCGAGGACGATTGCAAATCACTCAGCGCTAGTCAATCCAATATGCGTAAGTAATAATACTCGCACACTCCAATAGGTATTTAGCTACTCCTTTTTTTATGAGCCTAGAAATTTTTTACGTTGTGTAATAATGTTATAAAATAAGTAACTTATCATACAAAAGAAGACAACTGATATACGTTGTAAAAAAGAGCTAAATTATAATGTGTGTATTTTTTTGGAATGTGATCTCTACATATTATCTACAATCAGTATTGATATTAGTAATAGATAGGATACCTTGAATAATTGATAATGATATTAATTTCCTAGATTAAAGGGCCGTTAAAGTAAAACAAAATGTTGTGAGTGTTGGATTTGTTTTAAATATTTGTCTCTTCTTTAAATTATGTAATGAGACCCGTTTTTACTTAGATATATTTATATTTTTTGAATATATATATTTTTCTTGCCAGTTTTTTTATAGATAGTTGGGTAGTCGAGCTCACGCCTCATCTGGTGTAAAATTGTTACCAGAGCAAACGCCGCCACCCACCTTAAAATATGAGTCTTTAACAGTACAACTGCTGCCCCACCCTTCAAACCGAAACGCATTACTGCTTCAGGGCAGCAATAGCCAGTGGCAGGGCGGTGGTACCTACCCATGCGAGCTCACATGACGCCCTATTATAACCAGTAATTATGCAAATTTAATTTTGTGAGTTACACGATGTTTTCCCTTCGCCGCGGAAGTCAATCGTGGACATTTCTTAAGTTTTTTTTATTTTTTTTATTGCTTAGATGGGTGGACGAGCTCACAGCCCACCTGGTGTTACTGGAGCCCAAAGACATCTATGACGCAAATGCGCCACCCACCTAGAGATATAAGTCTAAGGTCTCAGTATAGTTACGACGTCTACCCCACCCTTCAAACCGAAGCGCATTACTGCTTCACGGCAGAAATAGGCAGGGTGTTGGTACCTACCTGCGCGGACTCACAAGAAGTCCTACCACCAGTAGTTTATTGTTCATTTATTAGAAAAAGTCGTACTTGCCGGCGAGATTCGAACACGGTTACATCGAGTGCACTAGGCTTCTTATCCTTTTAGGCCACGACGACTTTACGGAGATTGGAACTATTCAGCATTTTCTTGAAAATTCCATCTTTTTAGTTCCTTTTTTCAACAGGTGACTGGGCCGTCGCGAAGACTTTCACAAAGCTCACAATAAAATCGACTCAAAGGCGCGCTCTGTCTGAAGATGGTAAAGTAACTACTGTAATATTTTCGAATTCGTCATTTCGTTTTTAAACTGTAAGTGCTTTTAGAATATACACAAAAATCACAGTAGAACCTCGATAAGATAAAGACCAAGAAAAAGGTTAAATAATTTGAGTTATTGAGGTTTTTACTTACTAAGGGTTTAAGCAAAGGAGTTTTTATTGGTTTATATTTTTACTTACAGAGGTTCGTTTATGAGTTTTGTATAGGAATTATAGAAATAGACGACTTAGATTAAATGTACGTACGTACATACATACTTTATTTTAGGGTTAAAGGTAATTTTTTTATAGTATATTTTATTCTACATAAAAAAGTAGGTATATTTTTTATTTCAAAAAATTCACACTTTCTACATAAATTTTATTTTCGATATTAAATAAAGGATAGAAAATATCATCCCCTGTGTTACTGCATAGCTCTATAAAGGATTGTAAAGTTTTTACAGCTTTCCTTGCTTCACTGATAGATACAATCCTAGATGGATCTTGTGGGTCGTCATTTAAATCTTCGTCTATATCATCGCTCTGAGCACCATTAATAACGTTATACATTATTTCTTCTTCTGGTGTTGGTTGCACATTCCACACATCACACAACCTTTTTTGGTTGCACATTCATTTAAAATGAGTCATTGAAGTTACAAAGATCGTTGTCGTTACAACTTTGAATTACTGAGGTGCGAATCTCAAATTATTTATTTAAGTTATAGAGGTTTCGTATTTTAAGTAAAATAGGTTTTGGACTCCGTGGGGAAGAGAAGACAAAATTTGAAAAAATATTTTAAAGAGGTCGAGGTTTAAGTTATCAAGGTTCTACTGTACATACACAACCATGTTCATAATTCGGTCATTGAAGAAACACACACACATAAAAACCATGTTAGACATACCTATTGCTATTTTAAAAAACATGGTGCGAGTCTGTAGCTTGCATGAACGGTGAGGGTTAAAGTTATTAAGTTATTTTTTTAATATGCTCTCGCTTAACTCTAAATAGCTGGAACCTGAAATACTTATCTCTAAAAATATTCAAGATAATAATTTTGTTTTTGACTAGTTGTTGAAAGTTCCTATTGAGAAAATAAAACTACATATTTCCTTAATCCTGTTAATTTTCCACTCACTTCTTAAAACAAGCGGGCAACATTTTTGTGACTTCAAAGATGCCATCTCGCCAATCATTATATAAAGGATTATTTAAAAAAAAAAAAGAATTATCTAAAGAGAACCCACGAGTTTTAAGATAGATTATTGAATTGCTTTCGAACGCTCGGTGACATGACGACATCGGAGATGACCTAACTGGATAAGGGGAGGCGGCATTGAAACATGCCCAAAACGATTAACATAAAGATCGTTAGGTCTTTAATATTTAACAGTAATCTGTGTGGCACAAAGTCATGCACTGTAAAATCTGCTCGCCGTCGTCTAAAGCCTTCGAGATGTTGTGTATACTGTGAATAGTTCAAAAGACATATTCTTTAACTCTCATGAAACTGAAGTTGCGTGTTATATGGCAAGAGAATCGACCGTCTACAGAAACGGAACAACTTTGGAAGGAAATAGTCTTAAGGGACATGGCCATACGTTGGAAACAAAGAATCCAACTAATTGAACAAAAATACCACAGATTCTATTCAACAGTTCATTATTAGAAGACACATCATGGTCGTATGTTGAGACATACCACGGAAGCAAAAAAGTATATACATTTTTCTACCTGTGCTGATAGCCTTTAGAGGCTATTTCAGCGTAACCTTAAGTAGTAGGTGAGCTCACGGGGTTCAAACCTGACGACGTTGCTAACACGAACCCTAGCAAGAGCCGTGCTTCGCAGAATCTACCACCGGATCGGAAGCGCGACCCACTGAGAAAAAGGATTAGGTTAGGTGGTGGTCCTTTGTTTTCCTAATTTTAGCACACTTTTAATTATGATACCAAAATATATTATATGATCTCCGAAGTTCTATAATACATGGTAAAATTAACAGGCAAATTGGAGGAAATTGGACGCCAGACTATTATTCATAAATTATCTCTGTGTGCCGTTTTGAGAGGGACTACTGACCCTCTAAATGTTTTCATGTGCGGCAAATCTTGAGCTTTTCTTGAATCTCGGGGAAACTTTGTTTACTTTCACCGATGTTTCTGTGACTTGATCGTTTGTTTTCATTATGTATCTTAATCATAAAATAATTAAGTACCTTATGAGAGTGACGTTAAAAACAATTCGTGCAGAGCCCATTGTATCTGGTCTTGATAAGAATTTTGGCTTGGAAAATTTTATTTTCGTGTTCAATAGGGGCTTATTTCTTACATTATTGGGTTTCAATTGGTTAATTAATAAATCGCTCTTTCTTTGTCGCAAATTAAATTTGAAATTATTATCTCTCTATTGAGTCATTAGGTTTCCTTTTGATGCTAAACAAAAATTTACTCTTAAACTTTTTGCTTAATTTATGAATCGATTGACGTCACCCGTCACCTGTTACAGTCAAGCATTCATGGGATTTAAAGCATTAGGCAAGTCACAGTATATTTAAGGGAATACGTACCTGACACGGGTTTTTTTAAAGAATAGCTTCCACGATGAAGGAATAATATCGCAATTTAACCGCAGTATTTATTTTGCTAAATTACTGATTGTAGGGCGAATTGTGAGCCTGCACGGATAGGCACCACCGTCCAGCATTTTACTGCAGCGAAGCAGTATTGCGTTCAGTCCTGAAAGAAGAGGCAGCCATCATAAATGAATTGCTATTAAGATTATGAAATAAAAAATAAAAATGATATCTATTGATGTCATTATTTGAGTTATTGTTTGTTATTGGAATATTACATTACTGTTTGTTATTGGAATAATGGTATTCCAATAACAAACAGTAATGGAACAATATTATGTGGAGATTTTTTTTGGTCCTACCTAGCTGAGAGCCTGGAGAGGCTATTTCAGCGTAACCTTAACTAGTAGGTGAGCTCACGGGGCTCAAACTTGATGACGTTGCTAACACGAACCCTAGCAAGAGCCGTGCTTCGGAGAATCTACCACCGGATCGGAAACGCGACCCACTGAGAAGATCCGACGTGAAACTCAGGGGGCTGTGTCTGAGGGTTAATTTACTCGTCGAGCCCTTCGTCGCAAGCGACGAGTTCGACGAGAACGATGACCGGTGCTTGAGGTACCTAAAAGCACCGTTAGTGGATCAGGAGGATCCGAAATGACGTGTTTGGGGCGACATCGACTGCTTTTCATTATGTGCGCAGGATCGGGAATGTAGGTACCAGCGGCCACGATGAGAGGGTTCACGTGTCGTGCCGCTTTATCGAAGTTTTGTGGAGACGTGAATGATTTGCGTGTGATCTGACAATGGTAAGAACGTAGTTTCAGAAGTTGTTTGTTTATCTGTTTGCAGGACCACCGGTGCCGCCTCGTCCACCGAAAACACTAACTATGAACCGCGAAATGTTCAACCGAGAGGTGCTCATCGCTCAGAAGATATCCGAACCAGTCGAATTGACCGTTGAAAGCGTTTCGGTAAATACATATACATGTATATATATATTTGGTGGTATTATGAATGCGAAAGTATGTATGTTTGGATGACGCAAGAGCAGCTAAACAGATTTGAGTGAAAATCTTTACAGAGATACTTTACAACCCGGATTAAAAACAGGATAATTTAATGCCGGATATACCTGCTGAAATAAATAGGATAGTATTTTCGCTAATTCGACATTTTACCATCGGGTCAGCAAATCGACTGATAATGTATGGGTTGATAGTGACATATCAACTCTTCGTCCCGTGTGAAACCACGGAGCACGCCTAATTCTATTATAAAATTACAACATATTTGTGTGGATACCAGGAAAATGCTTAAGAAAGTACTTTGTATTGCACTTGTTGTCTGTTCATTCGAATAAGCATCGAGTATGGAAATGACTTGTCTAAACTTTTATTTGAATTTATATGGTTGTCTCCAAACATTGCATATTTTGTTTTATTACGATAGATAGATGGTCTGATAAAACAAAAACGAGAAATTGACAATTGTAGCAAACAAGTGCAACTAACATATTAAAAATGATGTTGTGAAAAAATAGCTACTTCTAATGAAAGAAAACTATTATATTTCTTGAATTAACTACTAACTCTCTTTAATAAATTAGTGTTTAATTAAGTAAAATCACATAATTATATTTGATCGACTGCCTTTCATCGTACCAAATGAATTTATATAATATATATATATTATTATTTTTTTATTTCTTTTTTCTTCTTCGTGAAAGACGATATGTGAGCGAAGAAATGGTATGATAGAGAAGTATGGTAGAAGAAAATATGTTGCACCGACCCCAGGTGACTGGGAGAAGAGCAGGAGAATGAAATTTTTAATTTGTTTGTTTTGAGAATCAAATAATCTTGAAAAGACACATGCCTATTTATATATAACCATGTGTCTTTTCCTAACCCTAATCTAGGGTGAACGACCCAATTGATGTTAAAGTATTAGGAACTCATAGACAGCACAACCTGGATCCTGCCACCCACCACCAGACAAGTCGAACACTCGATTCTATAGTGTTACTGTCTGTCTCAACCCTTCAAACAGAAACCTAGTCATTACTTTGGGACAAAAATCGGCAGGGAGATGGTACCTGTTAAGTACATCTTAACTATTTTACTTTGTTTGTCTACTATCATATGTGCAACCTGTAGTGGGTAATGGACTTTCGTAAGTTTTTTTTTTTTATTCCTTAGGTGGGTGGACGAGCTCACCACCCACCTGGTGTTAAGTGGTTACTGGAGCCCACTGACATCTACAACGTAATGCGCCACCCACCTTGAGATATAAGTTCTAAGGTCTCAAGTGGTTAAAACGGCTGCCCCACCCTTCAAACCGAAACGCATTACTACTTCACGGCAGAAATAGGCAGGGTGGCGGTACCTACCCGCGCGGACTCACAAGAGGTCCTACCACCAGTAAACGAACTGTATTAGGAATCTTTTGAATACCAAATCGTTTATGCCATCGAAATTATTACTTCGTATTGTTTAAGGATTGTGTGTTGTATTAATAAAGTCGCTCATTCCAGTATTCAAATGATTTCATTTCTCCGTTTAGAATATACAAAAAAAACAATCAGTATGAAATTAGTAAGTTAAATATTATTTTCCTTAACATTGAGTATTAATATTGAAATTGCTTATTGCTCTTGCTGTCGTTTCTTAAATTTACAAGCAAAATTTACTTACAAAAACTTTTTATTTATTTATTGCCGTATAGGCAGACGAGCATACGGCCCGCCTGATGGTGAGTGGTTACCGTCGCTCATGGACGTCAGCAATGCCAGGGGCAGAGCTAAGCCGCTGCCTACCGTTTAATACTCTCCACAAGCCTCGATTGAAGAAGGACATGACAGAAAAAACATTCCAAAAATTGCATCAGTACAATCAACAATGTATCTAATAAATGAATAATAATGTCTAGATAAATACCCCTCATTAAATACAATAAACATAATTTGCCACCAAGGAAAGTCCCAAAGAGTAGTTTTTTTTTTTTTTTTTGTTTATGCCCCGGAATCCGTTATCGCTGCCAGATGTTAGAATAATCGAGAGTAGGCTGTTATTATATTGCAGCCTCAGTCCCAAGGGCAGGGACATCCTTGGTTGCGCATTCCGAGACGGTCGTCGCAGAGTGGCGCCCCTACGTCACCGAAGAAATCCAATCACAACCCGCACGTTCGTTTCAATGACGAAGAAGACGAATACGCTTCGGGACAAATTGTAAGACATTGGTTTTTAGGTATTGTTGCTGTACAAGGATATATTTATACCGTTTTTCATTCATGTGGATAAACAGCGGCTTGGCTGTGCCTCTGGCATTACAGATAGATGTCCAAGAGCCATAGGAACCGCTCACCATCAGGTGGGCCTTATGCTGCCATGCAATAAAAAAAAGAAAAAAACATTAGCTTTAAGATAATGAGACGAATGTTAAATTTTGAGAAAAGGATAATTGTAGGTTTTATTAGTGATCATAGTGATAAAAAGTTTAATAATTATTTTACATTTTATTCGTATATATTGCATAGATAGATTCAGAATGTATTGAGTACGAATATTAGGTACGAAAAAGAACACAAAGAGAACCGCGAATATAAGAAACACTGTTTAATGCTTCCTATCTCATTTTCTCCCGCGTTAAATCTTATGAATTTGTGTGTCTGTCTCTTTTTACTGTCGCTTTTTCGTTTCATCGACTTTCGAATGATACTAAAGAAGTTTTCACTTCAAAAATTCTATTAAAACAACAAAACATTTTTTGTTCATCTATCACCTATACCTGGATTGATACAGTCAATGATGTAAAGAAATTTAAATATAACAGAACACAAAGTCGTAATATCGAAGATATGAAACAATGTAATCGGTTTAGCTAAAGACAGAAATGTTCATTTTCACACGGTGACACATCGTTATGTGAACCAACCGCTAACAGCACTACAAACATGCTCCAATCAAAGCACAGCACTGACGTCAATTCCAAATGAGATTGTGTACTGAACGTCAATTATATCTGGCTCGGTGACGTCATAGTCCACGATCAAAGAACCTCGTCGCAATACTGACCTTCCCCTTCAAAGAACCAGTTATACTTTCAGATTTGTTAAATAAATTACAGGGGTTACATATTATTAATGTTTTATAAGCTTGTGTTTAGCAGCTACTTTCTTTGTCACGTACTTCGGTATCGAACTACCTTTAGTTATCCGCATTAAAAACTCATAAATCCTTACCTCTGCACATATTACGTCCACCAAGATATATTATTTCTTTACGAAAATAACTTATCCTAAACACTCATCTTCTGGTCACAGGTCACACTACATAACATGTATTTTTTTTAAGGGATTTTATGACCTGGTAACCAAGACCTTTAGGTCAAGTCTTATTTTAATGTGAATGAAAACTTTTTTATATGAAAGATGATATTACGAAACAAAATGATGAAACATGATATAAGAAACATGGCATGAAATAAAATGAAAACGAAATGAAATGAGGTGAGATGATCTGAAATATAATCTCAGTAAAATGGTGGTCATTTATTGAGACTTTTTTCAGTGGACTTTTTGGAGGATCCCGAGAAGTTACGTTCAGCGGCTTTGTTTCATTTTCCCACATTTGTGTACTTTCACAGATATTAAACAGTTAATAAACCATCGTTATTACACATTTAAACCTGAAGAAACACCAAAGAGACAAAATAAAACAAATCACACAACTTCACTCCTCGCGTTCCCGCCAAAAAGTCCGTAACATGTATATCTTTAATCTCCGACCGTTGTCTATAAGAACAAATCAGAACAATTAACAGTGTTACCAACGCAAATAATAATTTACGACACAATTTGATGGTGATCTTTCTATTATTCCCCAGTCACTGCAGTACTGCAACATGCCAACGATGCCGAATATGCCGCCAGCCGTAGATCGCAACCTGAAGCCGCGTCCTTCGAGTCATAACATGAGCCAGATAAGTCATATTAGTGGACAGGTAAATTAATTACTTTAAACTTTTACGTACCGATCACGTAACAATAGAAGAATTGCAAAAACTTTTTTGAGAGTAACTTTAAAAAAAGGACAATATTAAAGGCAATCCGGTTCGCTTATTCCATTGTCATGAAATATATTTAACCTTTATGTTGTTATATAAAATAATGTTTACAATTCACAAAGTAACATATTGCCGGATTAGATTCTAAGATTCGACCACTTCGATAAAGCCGTACGACACGAGAACCCTCTCATCGTGGCCGCCGGTAACTACATTCCCGATCCTGCGGACAGATTGGAAAGCAGTCGACGTCGCCCCAAACACGTCATTTCGGATCCTCCCGATCCACTAACGGTGCTTTTAGGTACCTCAAACACCGGTCATCGTTCTCGTCGAACCCGTCGCTTGCGACGAAGGGCTCGACGAGTAAATTAACCCTCAGACACAGCCCACTCAGTTTCTCGACGGATCTTCTCAGTGGGTCGCGTTTCCGATCCTGTGGTAGATTCTGCGAAGCACGGCTCTTGCTAGGGTTCGTGTTAGCAACGTCGTCAGGTTTGAGCCCCGTGAGCGCACCTACTAGTTAAGGCTACGCTGAAATAGCCTCTGAAGGGTATCAGCTTAGATAGGAAAAAAAAAATAAGATTCGAGGGTACGGTACCTGATGATGAATGGTTGTTGTCGTTCATGGACCTCAGCGACGCAAGGGGGGACCCAGCTAAAATATAATATGTTCTGACAAGATAATTATGAAACACTTACATTCGTTTTATAGTTCGTTTTGTAGTTTTCAATGATAATTTAATTATATTGAAATATATTGATGAATGGCTCTTGTATGACATGTAATAAAACATAGAGAAAACATTTTTATTGATTCACGATTTTCTTACATAAATGTTTCTTTTACTTTACTGTCATTTTAATGTTAGATAAATTTATATATTTTTTTACCTTTTAATATAACTTTTCAGCCGCATTTGCAAATTTACCAGCCGGCCAAGCCTCGTTCTGACGTGTTGCAGTACTTGGACCTCGATCTCCAGGCCGCCAAGCCTGACGCCAACGGTGTAAGTGTACTAATATTATTTATTAAATAAACTTAGTAAATCATCTATATACATAAATAGGTACGTAAGAGACAAAACACTTAGTACAATTTTCTTCCTTTTTCTTTTTCTTTTAAATATGTAGTTTGTCTTCAAAATGTGAATAATAATAATAAAAAAGGAACGAATCAAATGTGATACTTAAAATCTTGAAGTTAAATTTCTATAATTGATAATTTTAAGTTTTCCATTATTTCTATTAAAGATTTTCTTTATAACAGATAAAATGTTATGTTTTCAAAACTTTCATCGATGTCGTGATACGTCACGACCAAAAGATTTCAACCGGAGAACGGTATCTAGTGGTCCTGTCTGTTTCTGCCACGAAGCGAACCTTAGACCCTTCGATCCGGGATGTTTTTATAATTTTTTTACTGCATAGATGGGTGGAAGAGCTCACAGCCCACCTGTTGTTAAGTGGTTACCGGAGCCCATAGACATCTACAACGTAAATACCGCCACCCACCTTGAGATATGAATTCTAAGGTCTCAGTATAGTCAGTTACAAGGGCTGCCCCATCCTTCAAACCGAAATGCATAATATATAGGCAGGGTGGTGGTACCTACCCGTGCGTACTCACAAGAGGTCCTACCACCAGTAATTACGCAAATTATAATTTTGCGGGTTCGATTTTTATTACACGATGTTATTCCTTCACCGTGGAAGTCGAGCGTGAACATTTGTTGAGTACGTATTTCATTAAAAAAATTGGTACCCGCCTGCGGGATTCGAACACCGTTGCATCGCTACACACGAATGCACCGGACGTCTTATCCTTTAGGCCACGACGACTTTACGGGCTATACGTTTGTAACAGTATAATCGCTTTATGCCACTCTTGTTCTGATTCCTCGAAATCTTTTGATATTCTAATTAGTCCCATGAAATGCTGCGCAAGAGGACGGGCATAATACATGGTAAGTCTAGATCGGACTCTGAAACTCCATACAAAACTGTGGATTTCCTGAAGACGGAGGCCTTCAATATAACGAGACAGGACGCGGAAGCATCACGGAACCTAGCTCATTTAAGTCATTAAACGTTATTGTTTTTAACAATTTAATAATTATAGTACGTGCAATACTCTAATGCGTCACAAATTAGTTAGTCTAAATACTTGATAATTTTACCATCCAATAAAGAATCTTCACTACATAGTATAAAACAAAGTCGCTTTCTCTGTCCCTATGTATGCTTAAATCTAAAACTACGCCACGGATTTTGATGCGGTTTTTTTTAATAGATAGAGTGATTGAAGAGGAAGGCTTATATGCATAATAACATCCATTAAATAGTGGAGAAATCAATAATAAATTACAGTTTCCGAAGCGAAGCGAGGGCGGGTTGCTAGTATATTATAATATACATATCGTCTTCTCGCATTAAAACTGTATAATCTCAAAACTTACTAATTTTACATGAGAGTGTTTTAAAGGTTTAACATGTGATATTTTTAATATTAATCACCTTTGCAACATTTATTTTTTAACAGTTACATTTATCTATCTTCTAAAGTAACATAAAATTATAATATGTATTAATTTTGTTAATAATAGTCAAAATATAGGTAAACTAAAAAAAAAAAAAAACTAAACTACGCTTTTGAAAATATTTATGAGAAAAATACTGGTGATACTAAATGATTCCGCATATTAACTCAATTTCGAATATTTTAGGAAATTGTACACTTTGAATGCGAAGAGACGATATTATGTTTTATTTATTATTAATCTTTTGTTTTCTGTATTTAATGTGTAACACGAAATTAGTTGATGAATTTATTTTTATATTAGCTGAATGCTTTTAAGGGTCATTTTAGGGTTTATCTGCTCGATATTTTACAATGAACTTCATTCGGAGCGCGTTTGACTATGGCACGTACTATATCATATATTTTTTTGTATGTAGATATTTTTAGTTTTAATTTTTAGCCGATACAAAGATACTTCAGCTGTGCTATTGCTGTTCCTTCACGCAATCTTTAAGCTTGAGACGGGTTTTTCGTTATGTTAGTCCAACGTTAGACGAACGCTTCGGGAGTTTTTAGTAAAAAACCCTTTTATGTTTTGTACAACGAAAATACTAATCATACTTTAAGTGGCATTTATTTTAGATACGTGCTTTATCTCGGTGAAGTATCTTTGATGCGTTTTATTTTAGTAAAAGTCTGATTTGAATCCTTTTTTGCAATAGTTTAATTTATCTGTGATTAAACGGAAACACGTCATAAAATATATATATGGCTTTCATGGTGAGACTGTTACCTCTCGATTAGCTACAAAACGACGGAAAGTCGTGATTTTACGAAATTAGTTAAAAAATAAAATTAGTTATTGAGTTTGTTTATGTTATAAATCTGACCAAATTTTTTAATTATTTTATTCTCTCTTTTATACATTTTTTCTATGTACTTATTTTCATTATATTTTGACTAGATTGGTATTTTTATGCAATTTTATTGTTTAACTATTTCTATAATAGACTTTTTTTATGAGCAAAAGGCATAGACAACTTTTTGTAAATTTTTTTTTTCGATTTTAAAGTCACTTGATAATGTTTTTTTTAAACGTAAACTAAATGATTTTACTTTAATAATTAAGATTCCCTTTATCATTAATATTTTAGCACAAATTTAATTTATTTCACAATTATTATTTTTTATTTTATTTTTATTAATCACAGTCAGTATTTTTATTTTGTCAGTTACTTATTGCATTGTGTTGTTACGTAGATGCCAAGAAATATAAATAACTATATTGATTCAATGTATAAATGTGGAGGTAATTTTCAAAATGATTAATACAAAAACAGTATAATTAACAACATTTTATTGATCGTCATAAAGGCGTGACGTACGCTGAATATTTTTTTTCTTGACATTTGTAAAACTTGACACCCGTCCATTATAATATTTGACGCTTGAAAGGCAAACGTGACTAAGCGACAATGCGTGAATTTAAAGTTGAAATACCTAAACACCTTTTTTTTTATATTGCCTTTGTAGGCAGACGGGCGTACGGCCCACCTGATGGTGAGTGGTTACCGTCGCCCATGGACTTCAGCAATGCCAGGGGCAGAGCCAAGCCGCTGCCTACCGAATTAACGAATTTAGCTGAACGATTTAACGAATCTAGCTGTAGTAGAATCTAGCTAGTAGCTGTAGGATTTAAATGATTTTAATAGACCTAGAAATATTATTTTTTTTCCGCATCGAATATGGTTATTGCCTATCATTTATGTACAAAGCAATTATTGTCGCTTAGTCACATTTTCCACCGTATAAAATCATCACAATATTTGTAAAACATTCCTATACAATATTTATATATTTTTTTAAATTAAATAATTACTAGATCAACTGTTTCAGTATAATGACTATTTGTTTGCAGGGTCAGTGTAAAATGAAAGTTCTTTTAATGTATTTTAATGAATAATTACTAACAATTTTGTTGTCCACACGGTAATGTACTGATTTTATGTTGAAAATGAAAGTGACCTTTGCTTTTTTTAAACGGCTATTTTGATGATGGTGATTATGTTACGCTATCTCCAACGTAATGGTAATTTTAAACAAACTTCTATATCTCTGACCGAACTAAGTAAATTTTTTTATTATATGTATTTTTTTTAATATAGTTAATTCATTTATTTACAATTACCAAAAAGATAATGAATACAAAGCGCGCATTTAGATTACATTACGATGGATTTTCGTTTCTTTTTTCTTTCTGCAATCCTACCTAAAGCTGTATTATCAAGATTGGCGGGTGATTTTACGAATATACGATTTAAAGAAAAAAGTATATGTTTCTTGTGTAAATTAAAGGATAAAATCTACTTCGGAATACTTAACATTGTTGTTACCATAGTTAAAAAAGTATACAATGACAATTAAATATTTTGACAACTGTCAAATGTGGATTTTAGCCTAACGTCACTTTTATTTTCAACATAACAAGCACTATACTTGTGTAGTCCTAGTAGAATGATGTAAGAATCCACAAATCCTTTAATTGTGTCTATAGCTCGTGTTAAATGAATTTCAATCATTCAATTTGTACCCTGCAAATTTAATATTACCTAGACTTGTGTCGTTTAAAAGGGCTTATCCAACTGACATAGCACTACGATTGTCGAAGAGGGTGACACTTGTCAAAGCTATTTGACAAGTGATGACATTTACGAAACAATTTTGTATCATAAAATGTTAGTCACAATTTTAATTGAATTTTGAACAGTTTGCAATGTTTTGTTTTATCGTGTACAGAAATGCATTTTTTTAATACTACTTTAATACTAATTAACTTAATAAACTGCAATATTACGTATTATATTAATGTACCTGATTATATTTTCTAAATAGCTTCATGTACACTCACATCACAGAAGTTATTAAAAATGTTCACTTAGTTTTAATTCTTAACAATAATAGACGATACATCACAAGAATCGCAAATTACAATTTTATTAGGAATTACTATAAATTTTGATAACGATACATTAGTTTTATACACTATTTTTATCACTCGATGACATCACATTTTTTTTAAACTATTTATTTATGTATGTAGTTAAAAACTTTCGTCAAAGAAGACGAACGGATAACCGACAAATACAAATATGTATTCGTTTTTGTAATTCAATAAACAAAAGAACCTATTCTTGTTCAGATAGTTAGCATCAAATTTTTTGCGGAGACTAGACGTATTCGGCACAAGACCGACATAATATGATGCTGGTCTTTATAAAAAATATTCCAGTGCCCATAATCGTCAGGTTATTCTGGCTGATTCCAACTTTCTACAAGGTCTCCGCGCCCTTAGGGCGCGCGGGGTATGTGGGATTGGTCCGCAACTGCGAACTGCGGATCCATGGATATTTTAGCATCCTACCCACTAAACGATTCCCCTGCACTCTTCGCTCAAGCATCCGATCCCCTCCGAGGTCAGAACCCGGATGATGTAAGGGGGATACCGCGGTCAACACTACAACCAGACGGCGCAGCTCACCCCAAGAACGCCCGGCCGACGGAGCCTTCGAGGTGAATCGAAGGTTCTGAAACGACCGCCGTCTCGGTACGGTAGCCCGTCGGGCCGCTCAGACGGTGCCGCTGGTGTCCCGGAATACCCCGCTGGACCGGAACCAGCCTGCCGGGTCGGGGCGCGATGCACCGCCAATCAGTTGCTCTTTTGATCTTGAAAGATATTTCTCCCTGACAGCGTGCTGGTAGCGGGCCGCGCGGTCTCGACCCCCTCAGGTCGCCCCTTGACCTTCACCGGGAAGGAGATATATCGAACGGCACCAAAATTTGCCCTAATAATTGGAGCCGAAGTTCCGGGTGTAAAATTCATAAAACAATACTTAAGACAGTATTCTTCGTAAACGTATGTTTTCGTTTGAACAAAAATATATTAGACACGGATATTTCAAAATTTAAAACTATTTATATTATTATATGAACAGTCAAAGAACTCCACATAAATTATTTTATTTGTGTAATTTATGTAGTAATTATAAAAATTAAAAACGCACATATTATAATATATATAAAAACAATTGTAAGCTAACTCAAACGAACGGGGAATCGCTTTTTTTTCAATTTGAAGCTCAAATTAATTGTGATTTGTATGTAGTTGTTTAGCATTTTTTTGTATTAAGGTTATTTTCGTCATGTCTACAAACCGTTCATCTTTGGATTTTACTATTTCACAGTCACCGGTCGTAGTGACAATGCTTACGTAGAAAATCAATAAAAAAAAATTTCTGAATTGAAATTTAATTAAAAAAATATCTTATTAATTTAGTCGATGCGTATGTAGTTTTTAGACGAATAAATGTTCCTTTACGTTTCGTTTGCCAATTATAATAGTGCTTTGCTTTATTTAAATTGTTGTTTAAAAATTGTATGTGTATCTTAGATTTGTAATTAAAAAACTTAATCAGTGGTAAGTATGCGTAATGTAAAAAAGCTTAGCTGGTGCATGCCCTGATTGTAAAAAAAAACATTTTGTTAGCAATCAGCTTATTACTGATTTCTTGTAATCAGATATTGATGTTCAAACAACAATTGTTTTATATGAACATATAAGTATTTGTGTGTGAGCCCATAAAAACATGTCTCACGGTTATGGCTTAAACCGAATTCCATCTTTTAATTAGAAAGGGCTGATATCATTGTACACTTTTAAAAACTAATTAAATTCGCATTAAACTACCTTAA